TCTGTGTATTCTACTACACAGAAGAAAAATTCAGAAACTGTACCAAAGAATCTTCTACTACACAGAAGAAACTAAACTCTGAATATATCATTCGAACTTTGAGGTATTTTCTTCTATACAACAACAGATATCCAAGAACTCGACGTCTTATAAGAAGCATCCAACTAAGGAAAAAAGAGTCTGAAATAGTTTTCCGAACATGGGCTGAACCTGGGAAAAGAATCCGAACAAGTACCAAACTTCATACTTCAACCCCTTGCAGTATTCAATATCCTAACTAAGTGCCCCAGAATGGGAGACACATCTAGCATTCGCATCGAAATTAGGGGAGAAATTTGTTGGAGGATGACCCAAAGCACGAAGCTTAAACCACTGAGCTTCTAACATACGAGGAAGTAACTGGATACAAGGCATTGAGATTGTATCAACCTGCTTCTCAAGCTTTCTATGTCTTTGCTGGTAAGTTTTACCCCATGGGTTCACTTGGAAACCAGAAACTACCTGCTAGCAAGAAAATCCGAGAATATGAAGCTATGGGTGAGACCAGACCCACAAAGTATCTCATGATTTGAAAAAAAGTCCCATAGGCTGAGGATGAATGACAACTCCTGTTGCAACAACATATACGAGATCACTTTTCTTTGCTGATACTGTCTTCAAAACTTCCATACCTGACTCAACTAAGTCTTCAACTGGCTATTTTTCCCCTTGAAGATTTCTGACTACAGGCCATTGCTTGCATATCCCTAATAAACAACCCCATCTCATTGAACTCCCTAAGGAGTTATTCCATTGCTTTCTCGGATAACAGAGTGGTGAGAAGTCAAGATTCACAATTCTGAAGAGAAAATATCGGGCCTGAGTAAGGATTCCCCATTCTGAGTACCTTCTGAGTACCTTCCATGGATGCACGAAGATGCATGAAGATGCATGGGGGGAGTGAGAGAATTCCTCTTCTGATATGATTTGGACACCACAGTCTCTGGATTGATCTCGTCTTGGACCTTATCTCTAGATGACGTATCATCTTCAATCGAATGATCAATTGCCCCAGAATAATATGCGTAGAAGATTCTTTCAGGAGAACAACTGAATGCTTTTTCAAGTGAAAACTGTATCATCAGGCATACTACGCCACAAAAAACTAATACGGTCTGTCTTCTATCAAAACAAAAGAGACATCCACCTGGTGAAAGAGAGTTTGGAAGAGACGCAAAACAGGTGTTGGGCTTTTATAACCCCTTTGTAGTCTTCAATATCAAAACCGGGTACCCCAGAATAGGAGATGTATCTAGCATACATATCGTAATCAGAAGAGACGTTTGTGGGAGGAAGTCCTCAAAGATCAGAGCTGGGAAGAACTGGGAATAATAAGATGTAATGCATTGGGCTCGCATTAGCATGCCCATCAGGGTTCTTGTGTCTTGGCTTAAAAGCTTTCCCCATGAATTCACTTGGGGAATAAAGACTAGCTCTTGTTGAACAGATTAGTGGACACAGAGTTATGGAGGATGCCCCTGATTAAAAGGTATGATGCCCCGGCGTGGTAACCACATCTGACGTTGGTTAACAAAAACGAAGCACTGATATAAGATCCTACAGTAAATGGGAAGCATCTGCTGATGAGATGTTTCAAGAACTCAGGATTGCGTAGCACTCCATAGTTGGAAGCAATTCCCAAAAGAAGATGAGGTGAAGAGAGAACTTGCTGCATCCATAAGTTTATTGATCATCATTAGAGCTTCCATGACCTGGTTCATCTTGAGTCTTTAATCAATTATCTTCCTGTTCGAAGAAATTTCTGACCACGGGCCAAAGCTTGTAGGTATACCATATGGAGTTATTCCCTAACTGATCCCTGAGCATGTGGTAGCAAGAAATCAAATTGAACCTCCAAGGAGAGCACCATGTCTGAATAAGAATCCCCAATCTTTGAGTACCTGTTATGGATGAATATACATGGGGTGCATGAATGAATGCCATGTCATGTTCCGTCATTTCCAAGGAATTTACATGATTTGATTTTGATTTTACGTAAGTAAAAGATGGAAAGTTTTAACACAAGGTTTACAAATACGATTCCTTGGAAATCACAGAACATGTATGTTAAGCATGTGGTCAACCATGTTATGTATGCAAAGGCATGAGATCAAATGGGTTCAAGGTTCCATCATTTCTGAATATGATTTCTGCGTTGCTTCTCAACCATATGAATATTATCAAATCAAAGGTCCGGCATAGCTTCCGCACATATAAGAGCTGAGTACTATGTAGATCTAAGTAGCATGAGATCAAGGCTTCAGGAACATCAGATACTGTTGAGCATTTCTGAATATGCTGGGAATACCAAGATCAAATGCTTGAATGAACTTCCAAGTAAGTAAGTCAGGAACTCAGAAAATAAATCTGAGAACCATATGGTCACCAACAGAACACCATATGCATAAGTCATTGACAGAAGTCCAGAACATGATCATTAGAACCAATAATCACCGTCTGATCATAGCCTCCATCTGGGCATGAGTACCCATCTGAACATAGTCACCAACTGTACCTGTGATGAAAATTCCCTCCCTGCTCACGGGTGAAGACTAGGTCAGGGTAAGGTAATGGTAACTCAGAAATCACAGGTCCGTCTGAAAGTGCTATGGGCTTACCCACAGACGTGGGTGCCGATAGTAATTCATTTGAACCTCATCCGAGCATGGTATATGACATGCTTGCACTAATCGGACCACGTCCTATAGTCGTCATGCCCCCACTATATTCCTAGTGTCCTAGTGCACTCTGGCCTGGGTACTGGGCCTTTTACCTCAATAGTAACATCCCAACCTAACATGGAAAACAGAGTCCAGCATAATAGATAACAAAACAGGGAAAGAAATAAAATGCAATGCAAACTTATGATCAGATAAACATGTACAAATGAGTAAACTGAAAGCATAAAAATAAACACCCAAAGAAAAGAAAACAAGAGCTAGGATCGACTCCGGGATGGACCAGCATTTGGTCGACCTGTCCCCAGTGAAGTCGCCAGCTGAAACAACCGGCTGAAAATGATCAAAACAATGAAGTCGCCATCGAACGTCTTTTATCCCACATGGAGGGAAAGGTAAACATCGAGTAAACCTGAGAAGGGTGAAATCAAGGTCTTGCGACCGAGAGATAAGGGTAAGGGAGTCTGTTACGCGAGGGGAAGGTATTAGCACCCCACACGCCCGTAGTACTCTACGGTATCCACTCTTGTTGTCTATCTTATGGGTGTGTTTGATCTATGCTTACTGTCTATTATACTACTGGAGAGAAAATACATGCAAAATAAAGGAGAAAAGATGTAGGGAAAGTTAAAATTGTGCTCGTTCGGGCCCTAACCCGATGCCTACGTATCCCTTTTGAGGAATCAGAGCAGCCGTAGTTCGGATTATATGTTTTTGTTGGTTTGTTTTTTTATGAACAATATTGATTTTGCCTTCTGCTGCAACTCGACCTTTGGAGATTTACGCGTCGGCACAGAAGTGAATTAATATGCTCTTTTGAAAAGTTTGGAAAGAAATTTGCCTGGACGCACAAAAAAGGTTTGAACTTGTTTGTTTTTGAATGAATGATATTAATTTCGCCTTCTGCCGCAACTCGACTTTTGGAGACTTACGCGTCAGCAAAGAAGTGAATTAATATATTCTTTCTAAAAAAAGTTTGAAAGGAAGGCCCGAAGGCAAAAAGAATTTTATGTTTGTTGGTGTTTTTGCTTGTAGAGAATAACTAGTTAATCTCAAGGGAGAGATTTTAGCCATGTCTCTACTTATTCGTGAAATGAGTCTTTGAGACTTGAACCACACCGAAGCTTAGAATAAGAGAACAATAAGGTCGAGAAGAGACCCGCTAATCGTCTCACATACTTAACGAAGATATGATTCTCGTCAGTAAATTTTTGTAGTATTTTTGAAGTTCGTAAGAAAAAGAAGTTTTTGTTTTAATGCAAAATGCAAAAGGGGAAAGAAAAGTCTAAAGGGAGACTAACCTAAATCTATCTCTAATATTATCATACAATGGTGGTCCTATGGTTGAGTTTTGAAGGGAAAGTAGAATGAAAATATACCAAACAAGTACTAGCCCGTAGAGCAAAGTAAAAAGCAAAGAAACTCGGCGATCTTGCGAGTTGCTAGCACCAACAAAGAAAAGATTCAGAAATTGAATACACAGTATAGGTGTCGAAGCATCATCGATGTGAAAATAAATCACGATGGAAAACTCAAGCATATCCGGATATCCTGCATAAGATTCTATCCTCAAAAAGCAAAGGTAAATTAGAAATCTCAAGTAATCGGATAATCGGAATTTAATTCCTAAAATTAAATAAAAAGAATCTAACAAATTTTTATACTTGATTTTTATTATTTTTTCCATATAAATAAAATTCAAACAAGTCTAAACAATTAACAAAATTAGCTAAAGGAGATTACTAAAATAGTGAACAAAAGGATATAATCCAGGGGTGCAAACACAATTCAGGCGCTAGGCCCATTGATCAGAGCCCAGGAGCAGTTTTTTTTAGACAATACTGTTGTGCCAAAAAACAATCACCGGCCTTAAGATTTCAGCCTATCCGGTCCAAAGGCATGTTCCATGTTATGTTGTTATTTCCAAATTTTGCACTAATTAAAACAAACAATAAATATAATTAAAATAACAATGAAACACAAGCGTTTTGGTTCAACAAGGTCAGGGCTAACGTAAAAACAACTTTTAGCCTTCTCAAAAGCAAACTTCTTCTTCTCTCAAGCGAACAAGACCCGTTGCCGTGACCTTCATCTCCCTCGCCCCGTTTCTTTGGCTTCCACCCCTCAATACCGTGCTCCCTTCTCAAGCGTTGCGGACCACTCAATTTCCCCTCTTACTTTTAACAATTTCAAGCCATTCTTAAAAAAATTCACCTAATCGTAGATCTAGATCTATAGAGAGTCATCCTTCAGTGCAGGATATGGCTGTGAAACTTAGTGTTTTCACCCTTCATCATCTTCTCTATATCGTGATAATAACGAGAAAGAAAGAAAAATTCGAGGAAAAGCGGAAGAACGACGCTTGCTTGCCAGAGATGTTTCGGCGACCTCTAAACCCTTGGGGGCGATGATTAGAAATCCAGAGATGAGGTTCCACATGATCAGGTATATATTCTCCTTCAGCTTCTTTTCTTCGTAAGATTTTACTTTCCTTGATTCTTCTTCGTCCCACTTCTGTTTGTGATTGTGACAAAGATGATGCGCTTGTGTTGCGTTAGTGGTTGTTGTAAGGTGGGAACCTAAATTCGTGAGTGTTTGAGGTATGGTGAGGATGATGGCGGCGTGATGTAGAGATGAATGAAGGTGTTGAGGAAAGATAGATGCATTTGTTGGTGAGAAAGAGAGTATGAAGAAGATGGAGATTGAAGGAAAGAAAGTGGGTGAAGGATGGTGGAGAGAGATGAATGAGAGGAAGTTTTAGTGAGTGTAGAAGCGTTACTGGAAAAATGGTCTCCCTCTTGAGTATGTTAAGGGATCTGTTTATATAGTCTTCAATAATTGGAGAAGTTAGTTATGGTTGAACGGTTTTAGGCCACAGGATCAAAAGAAATTGGTTAACCAATGAAGGGTGAAGATGAAGGTGGAAGTTAGTTAGAATTTTTTGCTAACCATTTTTCTGTTATGGTTAGTTTATATTGCATCTAACTTGAATCTGATTTAGTTAGAATTTGTTATGAATTTGTTATTTGAGCTGACAATTGGTTAGTTAGAAGTTAGTTAGGAATTGATTTCTGTTAGAAATTGTTAAGAGTTAGTTTTAGGAATTAGTTGGGTGGAAATCAGTTACAAGTTAGATGGTTCTAAAATTCTGTTATTTTCTTGTTTATGCTGAACTGGATTAGCATTTTCGTGGTTTCTTTGTTTTCTGTTTCACAAATTGATCCAATTTTGGTTATGCAGGGTATTGTCACAGCAAGGCTACAAGGAGGTTATCTCACGACTTCTATTTTTTTTTCTTCTCTAGCGCATCAGTCTCTTCACTGCCAGAAGTTGTGTTGGAACCACAAAAAGACAGGTCTACCAGTTTCCTATCCTCCGTTTAGTTCGAATTAAGGTTCTCAGAAATGGGCCGGTTTATATCAAGATTAATTGTGACCTTTGACGAAGTATTTAATTTAGCATCTCCACTCTCCTCTGATTCATATGAAGAAACAACTGGTGACTTAGAAGCTGAATGCTGAGCTTGCAAAGCTTCTGAGTCTTCTGGATCTGGTTTAAGATCTTGAAGAGGAAGATTTTGTAGTGTAATATCTCCTTGTTTTGTCTTAGGTGGAACTTTGTTGATGTGCATTAATGGAACAGCAGTTGCTGAAGCAGGAGGATAGGTAAAAGTAAATTGTAGGGAGTGGAGTGCACAACGGATGCAGTCTATGAGCTGTCCACCGTGCAGTTGCAGCAGCCATCGTAGCAACAGCAATAACTATTGATTCATCAGCATCAAGATGCCTATCAAGTTCCTTTCTACCAAGGAACTCTTGAAGCTTAGCCTGTAACTTTGGCACTCTAGTAGCACCTCCAATTAACTCTACTGCATATATTTGATCTGCTGACAAGCCTAAATGCTCAAGCAACTCTTTCATACAAATCACGAGGCCAATTCCTCTTTACATTATTTGCAATAAAACTGGAAATCTTCGCCCTCAAGCACGAAGCGATCCATCAGAGTCTGCCACATTGTTCAGACAAGTCAGAGCAACCTCCGAGAGGTCTGGTATACAAGCTTGGACATGAGGAGATAAATTTTCAAACACATCAACAGAAGTATCAGGTTCTCGAGGATCTAGAGGCAAAAATGGAAGTTTAGCAACCTCCCTTAAAGCATCAATGTGATTCCCAAGTCTTGACAATTTGTGAATTGATAATATTGACTCAAGTTGTCTTAACACATTTCGCTGCTCAAAAACATGCTCTCGCTCTTGAACACTGACATCTGGGTAGTAAGTATATGTCTCCAAACTCATTGTCGTTATGGATCAGGCCAGCAGTCTGGCTCTCACCATCCAACCTTCCACGGAAAAGAGAGCAAATAGCTTCAGAGAGGCACTTATTGATGGTATCCAGCGCCATTGAGAAGGAACCCACTCTCTTCTGAATTTCTATAGATTTGTCATACATCCCAGCCTCCTGACACTGGCATGCTGCTTTAATCAAAAACTGTTGCCTTGCATTTGGATCCGCCACAAAACGTCCTAACTCTCCTTCTTCTCCAGCACCTCTTGCGCCAAGCAATAGCTATATGCCTCCATCCCTTAACAACAATTCAGTTAGAAGCTACTTCAACATCAAGTTTCTCTGGTTTTGCTGATCGACATTACCTCTACCAGTCCATGACAACTGCCCACCACCAACCGCAGCAGCAACTTGTGTATAATATTCTAGTGCCATCTGGAGATCACCAAGGCAGAAATACATAGATCCATATTTCCTGACAATGGTGGCTACTTCTGCATAAGCATCCATCGCCCCCAACTTTTTCCCAGTACCGGCCCCTTCAGAAAGGACCACGTGATCAGCTAGCATAATTGATAGGTGGGCAACATCAATATTATATCCTTCATCTCCTGTTTCCTTAAACAGGTATAATACAGCCGGAAGAAATTGAATGCTTAAAAGCAAGATATAAGGATATACCAGAGGATCTTTTCCATTTTTTTGTATAGTACGATGGTTCAAATTTATTCAGGTGACTTTGCAAATCATCCAAAGTGTATGGAATCACACTGTCACTTAGAACAAGGGATGAAGATCCACTTGGGCAGTCCCGCACAACCAACAATTTGAACCACAAGAAATCATCTATCGAACTAAAAAGAGTCTGTTGATTTCTAAGTAGGCGATCAATATGTCTTCGAGAACCTGATATGATGGCATGATTGCTTGTATTGACTTGTATTTTTTTGTATGAATGTGCAGGTCATGAACTGAAGATGAAGAACTTTGGCATGGCATGGAATTGGAAGTTTACTCATGGAATTTTAGCGACTTCAGGACTAAAGAATTTCGTTCAAGTGTATTTTGTAACCGTTTTTTTTCTTTGTAGAATATTGGTGTAATGGGATTGTAATGATTTTATAATGAATGTTTGGTTTGGATGAACTTGAAATTTATAGTGTGAATTGTAAATGACCTTTGAGCTTGAAATGTTGGGTGATGAATTTTAAGGACGGGGTTTAAATGGCAAAGTCTTGAAAAAATGCTTGAAGACATGAAAGCATCAAATTTTCTTGTAAGGTATTGTTACACTTGAATGAAATTGAATGGAATTGGATAGTATTTTTTGAATCATGAACGAAAGGATTCAAATAAACTTTGAACACATGTGAACTTGAATATGGAATAACGATGAACATCTTTGTAATGCGTATGAACTCCGACTTGAAACAAAACCTCGCAGTCTGTACTTTACCTTCCAAGAAAACCATATGACCAATACTTAAGGCTCTTTGCCGACTTTAATCCAACCAAACACTTTCGAACATCTTGAACTCAAATCAAACTTCAAATCCAAATCACACTTGCATTCTCAATGAACTCCTAACTTCAATCTTGAACCCAAATCAACTTAAAATGACAAATAATTTGAATAGTCAATAAGATCTTGATCAGATGGATGATAAAGTCTGAATCACAGAAGAATTCTTTTGATGTGAAACCCTTACAATCTTGATTCCTCGTTTAGATGCACAGAGAAATATTCGGACAAAACATCTTTGAACCATGATTCATCAAAACCTAAATTGATTAACTGAGGAGTAGATGATTGTCATGTCACAGTCGTTAATCCTAATCAAATGACAAGCATACTTATAGGAAAGGACGCCATGATTCGAATCCCATATATGTTAGGTCACGTCCTAGAGTTCTTGACCAGAATGACCTACAATCGGTTGTTTATCAGAAGATATTATCCCTGTAACTTGGTGGAGGAGAAGTCCAAAAATGAGCCTAAAAAAACCTAATTCCAAAGCTTGCTGCATGAATAAGAAATCATCCTTTATTGGATACGAGCGCCTTAACCACTATGAAACCCTAGTATTGCACAACCACTAAACTTTAAACCTCAGAGCTATATTGAATGAAATGTATGCCATGTTAGTGACCACGTCCTCTACTCCTGGTGCGAGAGCGTCTGATAGGAGTGGCTTCTGTGTCAGTATCCTGGAAACCAAGGGTGCTGACGTCCAACCTTAAGGCGTTGAGCTATGACAAGGCCTCATCCAACCTCTCATTCATGCTCTGCTTTCCAGTCAAGATCTGAGTGTTTTGAGCGCACAGATACTCATATTGCTCATGTTGTCTTCTTTCAAGCGCTGCGCTCATTTGATTTTGCATATGAATGGCGCGGAGGACCTCTTCAAGAGTAATAGGATGTGGTGCAGATGAAGGTCCTGGAATCTCGTGGACGGGAGGAGCACTGTCCAGCTCTTCTTGCATTTCGTCCGCGGGGGAATTAAGCTGGTCTTCATGAGTGGGAGCACGTCATGCGGGAGCTGCGGGATCGAATAACCAGTTAGCTCTGTTTTTTGGATCGATTCGGTCCCTGCAAGGCAAAGTAATGTTATGATAAACAATGTTTCTGATCACATGATGGAATCTGCCATCCTCCCGCTCATAGATGAGGTGTGCGACCTTGCAGTGGTCCAGAGTCAGCAATGCTGGTGCCATAGAAGGCATATCTGTGAGAGCGGCACCATAATTCAGGGCTATGGCAAGAGAAGTGACAATCCTTCCGAAATAGAAGGGTTTTCCGCCTCTAGCACAAATAGAGTGAATATGGGCTAATAAAAATGGGGCGGCGTTGATCTTTTGGTCGGTGAATGCGCAATGCATGAAGAAAAGCTCCTTGGAGTTGAGCTTGTGATTGCTGTCTTGGGCGAAGATGGTGTTGCAGAGGATGCGGTGAAAGTATCAGATAGCCGGATTATGAATATGTGTGGCGTTGAGGTGGTCATAAGATCCGACACGAATGTTCGTCATACTGTGCCATAAATTAAAAGCTTCCTCGCCGAAATTATTCGGCACTCGGAGGTGAACACCTTCTTCAGAACAGAAACCGAGCAGCCGTGCGAAATCGGTTTGGGACAGCTGATGCTCAGTGCCAAACATACGAAATTTGGCCACGCTTGAGAGTTGGTTTGTGGCACCAGAGGGAGTAATGTATGCAAAGGAACTCAGAAACTCAAAGGTGAGAGTTTCGTAAATGGGTTGCGGTTGGCGGCACAGGTTCCATAAGTTCACATTCTGCAAAAGTTGTCGGACGCTGTCTAGCAGTCCTAAATTCCTCAAACAATCAAGGTCAACATACCGGGTAGGTTAGAGACTGCGACATTGGAACTTCTGGAATTTGAGTCATTGGGTTTCACCTTGCTCGCCGGCTCTGAAAGTGAGATTGGGGATTTGCTGGTTGTTAGGCATATTGCATGCAAGAGATTGAATCGTGAAAATGGTTTGGAATGTGGATTGAGTAGTGGGTGATGGAATTTAAGTGTTGGGGCGTTGGAATTTAAGAGAAAATTTGAATGGGTACTGTTACGGTTTTAGGAAAAAGGGAAGAATGAATGGAAGGTGGAGCGGCTTCTATAATAGCAGAATCTGCTATTGGGCGCGCGTGACGACCGTCACAATGGGCTGACGGGCGTAACACGGTGAAACACGTGTTACGCTCGTCATGGGGACGTTACGATCGTTACAGGTGCAAAGAATCATATTTATGAAATGAACGAAACAATATAATTCCAAAACATTATAACACAATAATTCAATACATGCAGAGTATTTCAAACATACATCGTATAACAAAATTTTGCAAAATGATAATATTGACAGTGAATATAATATTTGATGTAACACACAGTAAATTTAATGAAAATGAAAATAAACTGAAAATGAAATAAAATGAAAATAAACTGAAATTGAAATAAATATATGTTTCTAACAGAACTTTAAAAACTGTAAAGAGTAAACTTGTTTAAAATGAAATCATAAACTGCCTAGAAACATAAAACACAAGGTAAAAATAAGTGCTGATTCTGCTGCTTCATCCCAGTCACGTCTTCAAATCTTCGAAAGTTGCATTTATATGGTAAAACTGCTCCACAGTTATATCAGTTAAGCCTATCACGTCCATACGCATACCCTTCAACTCGTTCTTGATTCCATTGATGTCCGTCTGGTAAACATCCAGTGTAGCAAAGATCTTATTCAAATTTTCAGCATATTCCCCTTTTGTTATTGCAGGGGCATCAACATCCTCTACGATGTTGTTACCATCATGGTAACCAGGAGGGGTCT